CAAAGCAATTCTTGGCAAGAAGAATGAAGCAGGAGGCATCACAGCCAGACCTTAAATTATGCTACAGAGGTATAATAACAAAAATGGCATGGTATTATCACCAAAACAGACATGCAGACCAATGGTACATAATAGAAGACACAGAGACAAACCCACATAAATACAATTATCTCATACTAGAAAAAGGAGCTAAAAATATACATTGAGGAAAAGATAGCCTCTGCAACAAATGGTGCTAGGAGAATTGGAAATCCATATGTAGCAAAATGAAATTAAAACCCTATCTCTCACCCCAACTCAAAGTGGATCAAGGACTTAAACATTAGACCAGAGACCCTGTGCATAATAGAAGAAAAGGTAGGCCTAACTCTCCATCTTGTGTGCTTAGGAACCGATTTCCTCAACAAGACTCCTATAGCACAAGAAGTAAAATCAAGAATCAATAAATGTGATTGTATCAAATTAATAATTTGTAGAACAAATAAAAAAATAATAAAAAAGTCTTATATCTTATTCAAATTTGACTACTATATTGAAATCTATAATCTGCTAAAACTCAATTATAGAATACATTTTCTATATAGGTGCCCTCTGTCCACACACACAAATAAACTAGGTCTTAAGAGAGAATAACAATATCTAGTGCTACTTTTTGTAAGGCTTTCAAAGTATGCATTATGAAAATCACCATGAAAATTGATTCTAGAAAGTTCAATAGCTTTCCTACTTTAATTTTTAGTCAGATATATTTTATAGCCTCACAACCAAACCAAGATCACCAGAAATAAATCTCAAAGAGGAATTAAGTTTCACCAAAGTCAGAATTGGTATCTAGGGAATCTGATTCTGGTCACAAACTATACGGTTAACATCTTCCTTGAACATAGGAAATAGTAACATGAACACGTTTAAGTAAACAGACAAATTTTTGTACTTCTGCATGCCATTCCACCATTTCATCACATTTTTCTTTATTAACATTAGCTAGGATACAATACAAACCATTAAGCATTGTAAATAAAATTATAATCATTTATTACTCAAAAGATTTGAGATATTTACATGTCACCTGGGAGCTTAGTCTCATTCCAAATGCAATTATTTCTTCTGCATGTTTTGAGGTAAATCAATGCAATTAAGTTTTCTGACAGAGCTTCTTTCTTAGTGGAAAAACACATTTTAATTATACGTACAGCAAATAAAAATATTCAGTATTTCTGTAATTCAAATTGGAGGAAAACTTTTTCATTCAGTTTTCCATCAAAAGTTCCAACATGCTTAAATATATATCTCAATTCATCCATTTTCATTATATAACTAGATATGGAGTAGTTGTTGGTTTTAGAGTTTGGCAATAGGAGATAAATGTCAGAGTATTTGCCCATCCCTCATTCAACTTATCCAGGGTCCAGGTGTGGAGAGTATTTGGCAGGTGGGCAGCATTGAGTTCTTCCTGGATCTTTCAGCATCACAGCTCCATTCACAATGTATCTAACAAGCAGACTTAAAACCTGAGTTCATCAAAAAGAAATGTAGCTCCACTGATATTTCCTCTACTTTGATAGATTTTCCGTTTTTTTTCCTTTCTCTTTCTCTTTTTTCTCCCTACCTCTATTTTGGATTAGGGGATATCAGAAAAAACATTCAGGGTCTGGGGCTGTGGTTCAGAGGTAGAGCGCCCACCTACCATGCATGAGGCACTGGGTTCGATCCTCAGCACCACATAAAAAATAAAATGAAGATATTGTGTCCACCTATAGCTAAAAAAAAATAAATATTAAAAGAAAAGAAAAAAACATTCAACCTTTGACTATTAGGGACTGGCTTATTTTACTTAGCATGACACTCTCCAGTTCCATCCATTTACCAGCAAGTGTCATAATGTCATTCTTCTTCATGGCTGAGGAATTCTCCATTGTTATGAAGGAGATTGAGGAGGAGGAAGGAGGGACCAGATCAGGGAAGAACAGTGGTATAAATCTGACTGAACTTTCATATGTACATATTATGAACACGCCACCATGAACAAGACACTACTTAAATTTTTATATATGTATAAATTAAATATATATTTCAGAAAGGTCGGTAGAGAGGGGAGCAGGGGGAGGCAGAAGCAGGGAAGAAGTGCTGGGGTCTAAATTAGAGCAAATTATATTCCATGCTTTTGTGAAAATGTCAAAATGCATCCTAATGTTATGTGTAACTAAAAATATTCAATGAAAATTAAAAGAAGAAATAGCAGCATCAGCATCAGCAGCAGCAGCAGCTTCTATTATGGAAACGACCAAGAAAGGGAGAAAGTTGGTGGAGCACCCAGATTGGCTTTTTAGGAAAAATAAACAACCAAAATCAATTTTGGCATTCCTTACAGCTCCCCACTTGGTCACTGTGGATTTAAAACCTGTATAAACCTGCTGTTCTCCTATTTCTCAAGGCACGAACACATGGGTGCCTAGCAAACTTGACCCTGGCCCCAACACTGCTCTATGTGAAACAGCTGAAAAACTTGAGTGAGTTCTTAAATCCAACCTTATTTTCACTATCAATGGAAATGTTAACAGAGTATATTAATTGATTTTCAAGATCCTATTCATCTTCAAAATTCAAAAATTCTATTTTTGAATTTCCAAGACTGATAGAGGATATACTTTCCCCCGAGACTGAGTGGATACACCCAAGAGAAAACTGCAATTTCCTTGTAGGAAGCTGGAGAAGGTACAAAATTGGAGCCTGACAATTCTCTAAGTGACCTTGTAGCAACAATGTTTGCAGCCAAATTCCTGCAACATACCGCTTATGTATGTTTGTTTGTCTGGCAAAATAGCCCCGGTGAATAATAGTCTAATGAATTTCAATGAAAGCTGAACCTTACAAATTTGCCCAAAGAGTCTCCATCAAACAACTAACTTATGACAAGTAAATGTCCCACCTTCACCCTAATGATACCCACAACGGTACTGGGATGTCTTCTAAAACGTTCCTATCCCCAGGAACTGAGGCCCCAAAGACTGGAATCTTCACAACCCCAGGACAACTTTTTGATGAGACTGAATCCAAGGACCATTTGTATAAAATCTCTGTCCAAGTAACTCCCCATAGGATCTCACTCCCTATCCACCTAACTCTGCATTATATGCCCATGCTTCCAAAGGCCCTGTGCCCTTCTACTTCTTCATCTAGTGCTTCAGTTTCCCGCCACCATCATCAAAATTCACTTTGACCACCAGGGCAGATGGTACCAATGGTGGTGATCACATCATTTATGGGATAGAGAAGGAACTGGAACACAAGGGGAAGAGAGGTTCCATCCCTCAGGAAGTAAGGCCAGGACCTCTAAGCCTATGGAAAAGCATAAAAAAGAAACAAAATAAAGGAAGTGACTAAATGGAGGGTAGACGTCCATTAGAGAAAGGACAAATTTTTTAAAAAAGAGTCAAGGTTTTGAGTTCTGTCTGCTGACTCTTGGGCAAAATGGGCTCTGTACATCCTTTTGAACATTCAGGTTACTGAGGCAAGATGGATCTTAACATTCTGGACAGACGATGTTTTTAAATGTCATCACATAGTCTTAGCATAAAATGAATTTCTGCCACCTTAGGAAAAATAATAGGTCCATCCTGCTATGGAAAGGTAGCCTGCTGGTAACATCTGCAACTGTATTAGCCTGCAGTACAGAAAGGGATTTGAAATGGGTCACCTGTGCCAAGTGTCTGATGGGTCCACACTCTGTCTCATAGTTAGTCAATGAGGAGCCCCTCCACAGGATGATGTGACTCACAGGTGATTCCTAGTCTCAAGCACCTCCAAGTTTTGCCCAATGTCTGCCTTTCCCCCCTAATTGCCACAATCATGGTTCACTCTTTTAAGTACCAGACTATATGTCATGATGCTCATAATGGGATAGAAAAATAGCATACAAGTGAGCATTTGAAAAAAAAAAAATCTCTACCCCTAACAGGTGATAAGCATTCTTCTCTCTGGGACCCCAGAATGACAATAAAGGTACATGGGGGGCTGGGCATGGCTCAAGTGGTAGTGCACTCGCCTGGCATGTGCGGGGCACTGGGTTCAATCCTCAACACCACATAAAAAATATAAATTTTTTAAAAATATATAAAATTTTAAAAAAAGAGGTACATGGGAGGTCGACAGCTGAACTGTGCCCCAATTCCATGCTTATAATGAATTATAAAGACATCTCTCTATATGAAAACTAAAGTCACTCAGCAACAATTAATATATTTTATTTCATCCTATCACTTTCCCTAGTCTACCTTTGAAATTATAATAGAAATAATTGGGGAAAATGTGATTCAATTTACTAAGCACTCAATTTATAGACAACTTCTTTCAAATCAAAAATAAAATTTATTTTAACTTCATTTTATTTAATGCTTATGACTAATCATAATTTCATGAGCTCGCTTGCAAAGGTCCATACTTTAAAATTTACTAAACAAAAATGTGCTATCTTTGAGTAATAAGGTATTTAAAATTACACAAATCATCTCTACCCAAGACTTTCCTCTCTTCAGCAAAGCGACAGCCTGTCTATATTAGTCACAATTGTACAGCAAAAAAACAAATCTGCAGTTTGTTACATTCTATGGTGAATTTGTTATAGGAACAAAATGTCATACATATACTGATACAACAAAGTACAACCTTAAGAGAACTGAGTTATTTTCCACACACATACTCTAAAAACAGGAATTGTGCACATCCTGTGAGATTAAAGCAAAATGGACATTCCAAGATAGAACACCACTTAGCTCTCCCTCAGTATTCTTGTATTAATGGCAAAGTTTCAGCCAAACATAATTCTCCATGTTCACAACAGACCTGTACTCATTTACCCAACCTTTCTCCTCCCTTAGCCTGATGGCTCTCTGACAAAATATTCCTAAGGTCTAATGCATGCAGATAAATTATTCAAGTGAGAACTCCGTCTTCCAAGGGACTTCACTCTTGGCATTCCATTTTCACTCCACATCACTCACCGGTGCCATCATCCACATTCTCCACCTCCATCACTTCGGTATTGATCCGGCCCCGAAATAGGTACCGGTGTCCATCTGTGGATGCTTTGCTGTTCTTCAAGCGTCTTTAAATGAATGAAACCACAAAAACTTTGTTACTAAACCTCACGCAGAACAATGTTAAAACATCACACTTTCTTGATTCTTTAAAGAGAGAGAGAGAGAGAGAGAGATCAATTAAATCAACATTACAACAGTTTTTTGGCACTTGGTGATCAGACTTATGTCCTAATTGCTTTACAAGATGTGACTGATGTACTAATTTCTTTAAATAAATTAAAGTTGGGGCTAAAGATCATACACAGGTGGGAGAGCTGAGCATATGCTTTTGCTCAGTATATGACGTCTGTCTTGCCCAATGAAACTGTGACACACACTAAAGGTTGAATATTTTGATGCTGCAATTCGGTTAGTTTTACCTTCATTTCTCATTACTCAGTAGCTGGTAATTCCCATTTTTAAAATTTTCTGTTAAACAAATTCAGTGAGTACTTCCCTCTTCAAAAAAACTGACTATGCTAGAAGTTCTTAAGCTGAGTGACATTCAGCTGTTAAGAAAAAAAAATCTCCTATACTCATTTTATGATATGATTACTGTAGGCTTGTTGAACAAGTCTCTTAATGCATTTATAATCCTAACCAATGGTCATATTTATTTTAAAAATAACTCAAAACACTTTTTAAAAATCTGTGTATGGTATGTCTAGTACCAACCTTTAATCACAAGGAGTATATAACACAATAAAACACCAAGGTTTACAGATGAACGTTAACAATGAACTAGGTAGTTGTATATGAGAATTCTAAACACTTTTAAGTGTTTTTAAACAACAAAACATTTTTTTTCTAATTAAACAGAAAAGAGTTTGAGAAATGATTCAAGGAGGTTTAAAAAATACCTCGTCACTCAAGAGATTTCAGTGACCCAGACTCTTCAGTTTGACTCACTGACAAAAGTCTGGCCACCAGCTGAATAGACACAAACAATGCCTAATTTACTGTGCTATATAGACACACCTAGAACAAGATGTACCTTTCCACTACCTGTAGCATCTCGTCTAACTGTGCCTGCCCTGAAGTGAATGGATGTACACAGGAGGTGTCTCAAGATACTGTCACACCGCCCCCGGCCACACACATAGGGCTCCTTCCTTGAAAAAGCCTGTATAAACCTGGTCTATCTATCCTAAACCCTCATCAGACTTACTAGTCCTAAGTTGATAATTAATCTCACTGGAGAGCCTGTCATCCCCAAACTTTCATCGCCCTGCATTCCCCATTTCATGTTGACAGCAAACTCCAAGTGTCTTAGTTAATAAGCCTAAATAAATCCTTAAGTCAGGAATTCAGGACAGGTAACTATGAAAATTGGCATCACTGAAGGTCAGATTATACATTCATTAAGAATGCTTACTAAATAGCAGGAATTTAACTTTGTAAAGCTTTTTCTGTTAACTTATTTAACAATTACAGCCATAACAGAACATCAGTTGGTACACTGATGTTAATTTTGCCAAAGCTGTGGATTTGATGTCAGGTAGACAGACAGATAGACAAAAATATCAATATCAATAATATCAACTGTCATGAAAAAAGATTTCATTCTCAAACAGATGCCTTTAATTATTCCACCAAAACACCTTCATTCCATTAAACATTGTGTGTGTGTGTAGTACTGGGGAATCAAACCCAAGGGTGCTTTACCACTAAAATACACCCCAGCCCTTTTTATTTTTTGAGACAGGGCCTTACTAAATAGCTGAGATTAGCCTAGAACTTGTGATTTTCCTGCTTCTACCTCCTGACTCCCTGGGATTACAGGCATGTGCCACTGTGCATGGTCACATTATAATTTTTTGATGAGTTGTACAATGGGTAAAATTTCCTAAAGCTTACTTCTATTAACCCCTTCTTAGCCCCTATGCTATCAAACCCAAGAATTTAGAAAGGAACAATAAAAGATATAAGTAGGTTCATTTTCACATAGTCAAAAGAAATTTTGAGCTGGACACCATGGACATGCCTGTGGTCCCTGCTCTTCTGAAAACTAGGATAGGAGGATATCTTGAGCCCAGGAGTTCAAGACCAATCTGAGCAACACTGCAAGATCCCAACTCAACAAAGAGGGACGGGTGGGAGGGCAGAATTTTTTTTTTTTTTTAACTTCATTAAGGTAGAGATGATGACAATTTAACTCTCAATTCCTGACCTGTTCCCTTTCATAAAGGTACATATTACAGTTCTGTGTTTTCTTGCTTCATGTCATTGCATTTTTTAAAACTATTATCTCTTGCTAGAGAATTCTAATACTATAATCCACATGGCTTAATTGCCATATATCATCAACTTAGCTTTCAAATTTTCATTAATTTCCTCTGGGCATCTTGCTAACAGACTTAGGAAAAACTCATTTCAAGAGATAAAAGATTGAAGCTCCCTTAATTCTGCCTAGTAAATCAGTTTTGTGTCTCTCATTCTCACTCTACCATAAAATGGTTGGTTAGTTTCCTCACTTCTGAACTTAGCATATCCAATTACTCAAAATCCTGACCTTCCAAACTTCTGCTATGCCTATCCATTGAATGAAGCCTACTGGTACCCTCTCCCTGAAACCAGTGTCCCAGCTACAGTAGGCATTTTGAGAAGTACTGCACCAAGTTAAATGCTGCTAAGAAAACAAGTAAGACCTTCAAGAGTAGAAAAGTGACCATTGGATTAGGAAACATGGTGGATCCTTACACATGAGCAAGTTAGTGGACTAAAGTCTCATTGAATATTGTAAAGGGGGAAACAATAAGTAAGGGAATTAGAAAAATGACAACCTAAAACTCTTCCCAGAAAGGTAGTTATGAAAGAGAGCAAGAGACAGGAGAGAGTAGGACATAAGAGATATCTCTTTTTTTAAAGAGTAAACAATATTTGAAGTCAAAGTAATAGGCTCAAGGATCAGAGAGTAGCTTCCGTGGGAACATTAGAGGAGAAGTAGCAGGACAGGGAATAGTGTTCAGAGTGGGATGCTTACAATGAAGATTTTCAATTTCAAAAGTGCTTGTATTGACAAGGTAAAGGGTCAGTCACAGGACAGGAGGCTCAAGTGTAATGGAGGAAAAGGATCATTGCAGGTAAAGATACTGCGGACTTTCAGGTCCCAAAGTTTGGACAGGTCTCTATATGGATTTTGAACACTCCAAAAATCGGGACAGGAGTAGGGTGAAAGATAGTGTCCCAAGAGCTAAAGCAATCACTGAATTGTGTATAACAGGGAGATGTTAAGAGAGTCACCAGAAAATTCAGTGGATCAGAAAGACATGAACTTCACATTTGCTGAGATTCTTGAGGGAAGTGGGGTGGGTGTGGATATGGTTAAAAAGCAGGATTGGGAAAGGGGGGAGACAAATGGGCCTCTCCCACAGGCCCTGAGATATACAGGTGAGGAACCAACACCTCTTCTTGGCAAGGCTCTGGGGAGACAGTGTCATGATATGGTAGTGACACTTCTGTGAGGTCTACCAAGAAGGTGAAGATAACAATCAGGCTTTCCTGATTGTTATCTTCAGGATGAGCTCTGGGAAACACAAAGGAAAATGGGGAACTGTGAGGTGGATGGATCATTTCTGAAGTGTGATTTGTTTATGATCTCACCTGTGTTTCCTTTTGCAGTACACCAAAAGATTATCAAAAAGAAAAAACACGCGTTCTTGAATATTTCCAGAAGAAATTTTCAGTAAGACTCCACACATCAACATTTCAGTACAGGTGTCAGTGATGTTAGATCCCTAAATTAAAAAAAATAATAATTAATTAATTAATTAAATTAATAACTTCTGATTACTTGGTCAAGACCTTTGTATGTAAAGATTCTTCTCATTAAAAACTATACTTCAGGCTGGAACTGTAGCTCATTGGTAGAGCACTTGCCCAGCATATGTGAGGCACTGGGTTCAAATATCAGCACTGCTTATAAATAAAGAAAGGTCCGTTGACAACTAAATATAAACAACTGAATCTAGCTCTCCTTCACCTTCCAGGTTCCTCTTCAGTCTCGGCATAGATTCTGGATGTGTGTTCAGACAGTTAATGTATGCATGCACAAGACAGATGCATCTATAATCATGTCATCTATGCCATTTTGAAAGGAGATAATTTCAAACTAATTCATAACATTAATATTCATATTTTTTCTTTCTTCTTTGCTTCCCCAGTATGGATAAAAGGATCCATGGACACATAAAAAAAGTGTATGAAACTGTTTAAATTTTTATCAGGCATCAATTTATATATCCACCTCTGATATGGAAAAGAAGAGAAAAAAAATGATATAAAGGGAACAACCTTCCAAAGAGCCGCTGATTTATTAAACGAAGACATGGGAACCTTTATTGATTAAATAAGCCTTTACTCAGTGCTCACCAAGATTACATGATTAGCGACAAAACTATAATTTCTTTTTTGGTGCTGGAGATGGGACCCAGGCCTCCTGCATGTGAGGCAAGCACTCCACCACTGACTATACCTCTCAGCCCAACAATAGTGATTCTTTTTTTTTTTTCTTTATGGCTAAATGGAACTCCATTGTGCATATACACACATTTTCTTTATCTATTCATCCATCGATGGATACTTATTCTGGTTCCATAGTTTGGCTGCTGTGAATGTGCTGCTATAAACATGGGTAGGCATGTATCACTGTAGTATGATGACTTTTAAATTTTTCAGGATAAATACTGAGGAGTGGTATACCTGAATCATATGATGGTTCCATTCTAGTCTTTTAAGGAACCTCCATACTGATTTCCATAATGGTTGTACTAATTTACAATCCCACCCAACAGTGTACTCACATCCTCTCCAGCACTTATTATCATTTGTATTGATTCCTGTCTTTCTGACTGGTGTAAGCTGAAATCTCAGTGTCATTTTTTTATTTTATTTTATTTTTTATTTATTTATTTTTATTTTTTTATTATTAGTTGTTCAAAACATTACAAAGCTCTTGACATATCATATTTCATACATTTGATTCAAGCGGATTATGAACTCCCATTTTTACCCTATATACATATTGCAGATTCACATCGGTTACACATCCACTTTTTTACCTATTGCCATACTACTGTATGTTGTATTCTGCTGCCTTTCCTATCCTCTACTATCCCCCCTCCCCTCCTTCCCTCCCCTCCCCTCCCATCTTCTCTCCCTACCCCATCTACTGTAATTCATTTCTCTCTCTTGTTTTTTTCCCCTTTCCCCTCACTTCCTCTTATATGTAATTTTGTATAACAATGAGGGTCTCCTTCCTTTACCATGCAATTTCCATTCTCTCTCTCTTTCCCTCCCCCCTCTCGTCCCTGTTTAGTGGTGATCTTCTTCTCATGCTCTTCCTCCCTATTCTGTTCTTATTTGCTCTCCTTATATCAAAGATGACATTTGGCATTTGTTTTTTAGGGATTGGCTAGCTTCACTTAGCATAATCTGCTCTAGTGCCATCCATTTCCCTGCAAATTCCATGATTTTGTCATTTTTTAGTGCAGAGTAATACTCCATTGTGTATAAATGCCACATTTTTTTATCCATTCATCAATTGAAGGGCATCTAGGTTGGTTCCACAGCCTAGCTATTGTGAATTGTGCTGCTATGAACATTGTTGTAGCAGTGTCCCTATAGTACGTTCTTTTAAGGTCTTCAGGGAATAGTCCAAGAAGGGGAATAGCTGGATCAAATGGTGGTTCCATTCCCAGCTTTCCAAGGAATCTCCATACTGCTTTCCAAATTAGCTACACCAATTTGCAGTCCCACCAGCAATGAACAAGTGTACCCTTTTCCCCACATCCTCGCCAGCACTTGTTGTTTGACTTCATAATGGCTGCCAATCTTACTGGGGTGAGATGGTATCTTAGGGTGGTTTTGATTTGCATTTCTCTGACTGCTAGAGATGGTGAGCATTTTTTCATGTACTTGTTGATTGATTGTATGTCCTCCTCTGAGAAGTGTCTGTTCAGGTCCTTGGCCCATTTGTTGATTGGGTTATTTGTTATCTCTTTGTTTAATTTTTTGAGATCTTTGTATACTCTGGATATTAGGACTCTATCTGAAGTGAGAGGAGTAAAAATTTGTTCCCAGGATGTAGACTCCCCATTTACCTCTCTTATTGTTTCTCTTGCTGAGAAAAAACTTTTTAGTTTGAGTAAGTCCCATTTGTTGATTCTTGTTATTAACTCTTGTGCTATGGGTGTCCTATTAAGGAATTTGGAGCCTGACCCCACAATATGTAGATCGGAGCCAACTTTTTCTTCTATCAGACGCAGAGTCTCTGATTTGATATCAAGCTCCTTGATCCATTTTGAGTTAACTTTTGTGCATGGCGAGAGAAGGGGATTCAGTTTCATTTTGTTGCATATGGATTTCCAGTTTCCCCAGCACCATTTGTTGAAGATGCTATCCTTCCTCCATTGCATGCTTTTAGCCCCTTTATCAAATATAAGATAGTTGTAACTTTGTGGATTAGTCTCTGTGTCCTCTATTCTATACCATTGGTCCACCCGCCTGTTTTGGTACCAGTACCATGCTGTTTTTGTTACTATTGCTCTGTAGTATAGTTTGAAATCTGGTATCGCTATACCGCCTGATTCACACTTCCTGCTTATAGTTGCTTTTGCTATTCTGGGTCTTTTATTTTTCCATATGAATTTCATGATTGCTTTCTCTATTTCTACAAGAAATGCCGTTGGGATTTTGATTGGCATTGCATTAAACCTATAGAGAACTTTTGGTAATATCGCCATTTTGATGATGTTAGTTCTGCCTATCCATGAACAGGGTATATTTTTCCATCTTCTAAGATCTTCTTCTATTTCTCTCTTTAGGGTTCTGTAGTTTTCATTGTATAAATCTTTCACCTCTTTTGTTAGGTTGATTCCCAAGTTTTTTTTTTTTTTTTTTTTTTGAGGATATTGTGAATGGGGTGTTTTTCCTCATTTCCATTTCAGAAGTTTTGTCGCTGATATACAGGAATGCCTTTGATTTATGCGTGTTGATTTTATATCCTGCCACAATACTGATTCTTAACACAAAACTAACCATTAGACAATGAGAAGAGCCACAAGATGAAGGAGCCTGAGCCCTGAATCATCAACAGAGGAAAGCTGCCCTTCTAAGCAGAACACCCAGGGTCTCTGGTGTGAGCTACACATAATTTTATATGGTGAACCATTGGAAATGTAGAATATTTCTATACCTAACCTATCAAATATATGCTAAGCTGGATTAAACACATAAAGGAAGTTTTCAGCAGAGATCTAGCAGTGTTCTATGCAAGAGAATATCAAGTTTAGTTAGGTCTGGTTTCTTTTAATCTGATGTCAATTTCTGATTTATTGATTCAATGTTTTTATTTTTGATTTTTAAAATTTCACATTTGCACAAAATCATTAATATAGTTTTTCTAGTCAACTATAAAAATCTAAATTAAAATGACAACTCTTATGTCTCCAATAAGAAACTTCCAATAGGGAACATAAATTAGGAGAAAAAGCTATTAGGTTAACTTGGTTATCTATATTACAAATACATTTTAAATTTTAGACATTTTCCTTTTTTATTTTTTTTTCATTCTGACAATAGATATATAAATGAAAATGTAAAAATTTTACACAATTTCATGTATTCTGTCATGAGTTTGTTAAGCAAGGATTGTCATAAAATATGAATTGTCATGGAATATGAATTGTCATGAAATATGAATATGAGTTGAATATGAATATGAATTGATTGTCATGAAATATGAACCTCAAACCCAGTGACTGGTGTCAATGGTGTCTTATTATTTATTTGTAAAGAATAGCACCTTTATCTTAGACAAGAAGCTAGAATAGAATTGAAAGATAGAAAAGGAAACATCAAATTGATTCTTAAATAAGACCTCGTATAACATTAAGGAAAGTAACTTTATTAGTAGCAGTTTTACTACAGGTGCAGAGTATCACCCCCTTGGACTGGTGGTGGCCCATATTAAGGCAACCAAGAATGGTAAATTGTATTGCAAAATGGTTATATTTTTGCAAAATGGTTATACTTTTATCTTGAAAATTAAATAATCATTCCAAGTAAGTAACCCAAATTAACATAGGCAGATAATAGCAGATCCATTCCTCTACAACAGAAATCCTAACCTGTTGTGGATTTACAAATATAAGGAGTGTTTTACCTAAATTTGAGCCAACTATAATGGCAGCTTTATGTTACCACGAATTCAAAGTGCTCAGTAGTTACCAAAACCCCCAGCTATTTTTCCTCGACCCCATCCTTGAGTAATTTGGCTTTTTGAACCTCTTTCCTTACGTCTACTATATATTCTTACATCTACTAATATTCATCATCATTGAATAGTCCTTTAAGTCGACTGTTATTTACCTTGTTAGTAGTTTTTCTTCATTTTTAAAATCAGTGTTCATTTTTCATTCTAAATATCTATTCTTCAGCAAATACACATTTAGTTATTAAACAACCATGCATAACACATATTTTATCTAGATGAATTCTATTCATGCCAAGCAATGTGCTGAACATTTTATCCTGGTATGAATCTCTACCAAGTTGACCTCACTGTAATGTGGAACCACTGATTAGTTAACAACGTTTAAAGTCAGACTCCGTGATCAGTTCATCTCATGAACTAAATGTTGCATGTCAATCAGAAAAACAACTGACCACGGAGAGAAACCACAGTCTTGGAAAAGATAAGAGAGGCTTGAAATTTCCATACTCATATATAATGCAC